ATGTATGGAAGATATCTCCAGTGTGCGGATAAATGTTAATATGTGCAGAGTTTTTGCTTTCAGGAAATCTGGGCTCCAAAATTTTTCCCTTGTCTCAGTTGTTCTCTCCCCACTTTTTCATTTGTAACCTGCTGGTGGAGACTTGATTCAACGAAATAAGCTATGTAATGCAGTTCCATAATGGAAAATAAGAAGCTTTTTGCATTCAACAAAATAACCAGCCATGTGATGGTGGTCATGGGCCTTAGCTTATGGGCTTTTCTCATGGTGCAAATTTCAGGCATGCATGGGCCTAATGCCAAAACAGTTTTCTTTGGAATTTGGGGCTTGGACTCCTACTATACAACGGGGCCCATAACAGCTATAAGGATAAGGCCCATAACCCCAACCCTGCCATCGTGGTAAAGGTGGGATTCAATCCTATGTATTAATCAATTGGCGCCTTATCTTGTAATTTCCTAATTAATTTTTTTAGATTTCTGATCACCTATGATTAATTAGATGATATGAAGAAGCATTGCTTGGTTTGATGCAGATATGACGATAATAACCTTCTTTTCTGTCTTGTATGAAGTATAAGCTCATTTTAGTTGCCTACTTCGTACCAAAAGATAATTCGTACCATTTAGTATCATAAATGGTTTCACGAAAAAAAGGTGTTTTTTTTTTTTCTTTTGTATTTCTAAACCTGTATTTGCATTCTACATATTTGTATTTGTATTCCTTCTAAATTAAGACTTAAATGACCACTTGCATGAGTTTAGTTAGAGAATTAACCTCATTTCCAATCATTCATCAACTATATAACATGGCTGCAACCAAGGTTTTAAAAACCAGACCAGACATGGAACCGTTTTGGCCACTGGTTCCCGGGTCAAACGGTCTGACTGTTTGGTATGAATGAATGGCCCATTCTGATTTTAAAAAAATTAAAATAATGAAAAAATAATTAAAATAAAAGAGTCAAAAACCATTATTTGGGTTGATGGATCAACGGTTCAATTTCCCAGGTCAACAGATCACTGACCAAATCAACAGTTTTTTACCCTACAACGATTTTAAGGTGAAATGGAACTGGTTGCCTGAACAATTCCCGGATCAACCAGTCCGGTTTTCAAAATCAAGGCCGCAACTATTGTTCAAGCAGCTTGTGGTATCTCTCTAGTTTTACTTGGTGGAGTTGTCAGATTTCCTTGGTCCTATTGTCACATGAGAGAAACTATATTGTAACAATTGATGCTTTGAAAGTTGAAATGGGCCGGTAGTTCAACCTCTCACTATTCCATCAAGGCATCAACTCCATTCTCTAACCCAAAAGTAAAGTAAAAATCCCATTCGTCAACCTTGCCAACTTGCCGTGAAGGGTCCATTCCGAGACTGTCAAGGTTTGTCGACTAACACTATTGCTTTCTTCGATCTTTTTCTCCCATTATTAAGTAGCGGAGATCTGTATGATGCATGGAATTTGTTAAGTTAAAGATAAATAATAAAAATATATAAGAGTATACAATTGTTTCATATAATAATTAATAATCATTTATATTCTATATACTATTTTTAATATTTTTAACAATACAAAAATAACAATAATTAATTTTAGATAGGATTGTTTATCAAATTAAGGGATAGCAATTTTTCCCATTTCTTCGATTTGCCCCAAATTGGGCAGGGATGGGGATGATTTTCCCCCTTGGGGACGGAGATGGAAAATTTTTCATCCCCGTTGGCGGGGATGTGGAGAGCACTCCCTGCCCTACGTGGACCCCGATCCCCGCCTCAAGGGGTCCCCGTTGAATATGTTTGAATATTTTTTAATAGGATTCTAATTTTTTAAGTATTTTATTTTTATTTTTTAAATAAAATAAAAAACAAAAATATAATTGTTAACATTATAAAGAATCACGGGGAGTAGGGATCCTCATGGAGACGGGGATGGGGATAACTTTGTCCTCGTTAGAGAGAATGGGGATAGGGACATGGATGGGGATTTTTGCGGGGACGGGGATGGGGAGAGGCTCCTTGTCCCCGCCCCACCCCGTTGCCATTCCGAATCAAACTAATGAAACTAACTAAACTGATTTCTAGTATTTCCAGTCGGCTTTGGTTCAACAATTTCCCAACCTAACTAGGTTCGAAAAGTTCACTTAGGCCATTTGTGAACCAACTAAAGTCAAACAAACCAACCATATATATATATATATATATATATATTTTCTATTTTAAATATTTTTTTAATATGGAAAAGTGGTAAAAATTCAATATTTCTTAGGCTAAAATGGAGTATATCATAAATTTATTTTTTTAATTTATTTTTTTAATAATGTCATTGTAATTTTTTAAAATTTAAACTTGATTTTTAAATTTAATTTTTTAAGTTTAAATCTTTTGAACCAACCGACCAAATCAAAAATTGACCCAAACTGATATATCTTGAGTGACCCCCAACATGACCACGTCAATTTGGTTGGCCAAACAACCTACAACTGAACCGAACCAACCCGTGAACAATAGTTTAATCTCCAATAATTATTAAAAATTATAGCAAAAATACATAATAAATTAAATTGAAAAAGCTAAACAACAATAGTTAAACTCCAATAATTATTGAAAATTTTCTATTAAATAACAAAACAGAAATAGATTTATACATAATTATTGAAAATATATTTATCACAAAAAGCTATAAATAATTACTGAAATACAATAAATATTAATTTTAGTACAGATAAATATATAATAAATAAAGATTAAATTTTTAAAATTATTGTTAATAAACAATATTTTTTGAGTTATTTTCTAGAATTATTAATTGGTATAAATGAAATTAGTTATCTACAATATTATTTATTTATTGAAATAATATCATTATTTAAATTTTAAAATATTAATTACTTGTTGAATTTAATATTTCGTTATTTAAGATATTTATTTATTTAACTAAATATTTAATATATTTATATATTTTTTATAATTGAAAGTTATTCAGTAACTATTTAAAATATATTATTAATTAATTTAAAATGTTAATTTTAATATTTTTTTATTTAAGATATTTAGTTATTTAAGTATTTAAATAATATTTCATTTTTAATGTTAGATTTTTATGATTTGAATAACATTTAAATTGAATAATCCAGAAAATCATAATTTATATTGTTTGTACATAATTTCGTGATGAATATTATAAAAATTAAACAACGACATGGATACAATTAAAAATTCAGAAAAATAAAAAATTGGTAGCTTCGAAAATGACATGGATTAAAAAAATTAAAAATTCAAAAAATGCAATGCCTGCTATAAATATTTTGGGCTATTATTATTATTTTTATTATTATTAATAGTAGTAGTAAAAGAAATAGTATTTATTTTTATTTTATCCCTGAAAAATGCAATGCCATTAAAAAGCCTGCTATAAATATGTTGGGCTAAGGTGTGGCCCATACCCAACCAAAAATTAATAGAACATGCATGTTATGTATATGATTTTATGGTTCGGGCCAGGAGTACAGTTAGGGCAAGTCTAAACTTAGATTTTATTTTAGGATCTAAGTCTGGCCTGGCCCTTCATCACCCCCTAGAAATGGTACAATTTTTTTGGTATTACATAATTCATATTACAAAGAAATCAATCATAGGGACAGAGCAGGACGCATCCTACTTTGGAGGGATACTGATTTACCATCTCAATTATAGGTCCTGGTTGGTTGGAATAGACTATTCTGATACTAATTGTTTGGTTGGACGGAATGGAATCTCATTCTCATTCTTCTTGGAATGGCATTCGTCCATTTGAGGGAATGGCCATTTCCTGCCCTTCCCTTGGGAATGAAATTTCATTCCTACAGATTCCAAGTTCCATTTTCATTCCTATTTAAACCAAACAAACTATAACAATAAACCATTCCAATTCCAATTTCAAAGTATTTTCTATTCTGATTCCGATTATAAACCAAACGGGCCGTAATATAATTCTTTGGTTGTTTTAGCAACTTTGTCTACGGTAGTTTTGCAATACGCAAAAGCCTATGTTGTTCAAACTATAGGGTCATTTTTCTCAAGGATCAGGATCCATTATTGGATATGGTTTTCTAACTAAAGCTACGAATATACCAATAATCAATTTATTTAGATGACATTTAACTTTTGGCATTATTTACACAACCACTTCAACTTGTAGGCTGTGCTTAGTTTGATGTAAAATAAGAGAAAAACATAAAGTTGAGGGAAAGTTATTAAGGAATTTCACAAAGATCGTTAAGAACTTTCCCTTCAACTTTCAAATTTTCTCCTATTTTCTATCAAACCAATCATAGTTTTAGAGAAACTTCTCTATCCATCCTTTTAATTGTAGCAAATAGATGGGTCCTAACCTTCAATTGGTCTAAAACAATCTTTTTTAAAGAAAAAAAGGTATTTATATTATTGAAATAATGATTAAGATTAATTTTCTAATTATCAGTAGTAGGATTAGAAAATTAGCTCATGTCTCTCTCAACACCATATTATATGAATTTGTGTTTCCCAAAATGGATAGAGTTAATCCTGAACCATTCAAAACCTACATCTTTTTATTTAGAGCATGTTCAGAATATTTATTATGAAGTCAATATTGCATGCTAAACCAGGTGGTAGAACAATTTTAACTATTTATATTCCAATATAAGAGACTTAGATTTGAGTCTTCCATTGCAGTTCTTGCATGTTAGTCTCCTGAATTTAGATTAGAAGTTCATTAAAAATATAAATAATTTAATTAGATTTAAAACATACACTCAGTATAGCCTGATTCCCAGAAAAAAAAAAATCTGTTATTTAATTAAGCCAGCAGGAGTGAAGTTAGATCATGGATGGGAATGGAAGATAGACAAGAAAATAAACTTTTTGTTTGATCCAGTTCCAGATAGACAGGAAAATATGTGAAAATATGAAAAAAGAATTTTTGTATGTAAAAATAAATAAATATACAAAAAGAAAAGAAATGGATGAAGAATGAAATAGAGAAAACCATAACACTCCCATGTTTATATTTTACTGGTATTTTGAACAAGATCCAAGAGCATCATTCTTTTAATATGAAAACAGATCTGATTCAATTAATAGAGTAATGGATAAAACTGTGGTTCAACAGACTACATGTAAATGCTTAATTTGGATACAGCAAGAAACAACACTCTATATATAGATAGATATAATATATCAGAGGTAGAGTTGGTGTAAAGAATCTTCCAAAAGTGAATAGACTGCAAGACAACCCTCCTGTGAAAGGTGCACCTCGTCCCAAAAGAATGCAGATTTAGGATTTTCACAGGCTGTATACATGGGCACACCATTTTCATCTGTCTGTCCACACAAGTATTTGCTATTTATAGACTCGCAGCATGGCTTCAATGGATTACCAAACTCCATGCTTCCTGTTCAGGGTATCAAATATTCTATTGTTACTAATTGATTGGAAAATATAAGGACAATAAAAAAGCTATATAATTAATTAAACCATGGATGAGCATACATATGGAAGGCTTCAGGATTTGTGCTTTTAAAGCCCAAAAGGACAAATTCCCAATTCTAATCTTTGTGTTTTTGGAGCTTAATAGTTTTTTTTTTTTGGGGCTTCAGATCATAATGATTTTAAAAGCAATTCTTACCAAATGCACAAAACACTTTTTGGTTCAACCATATTCTCCACCTAACAGAGCCCTAATTTACCCTTTTCATGGTATTGAAAGTTAAAATCACTATCGAAAGGTGAGAAAGAAGGTTGATAATATGATTTTGTTAATGTGATAGCAGGAGTCTGCCAAAACCAAGGTAGGTCTGTCTGCAATATCTGAAACTTAAAGTTGATATAATCCAAATACAAATGCAATTTCTAGTGTTCTTTATGGATTAGAAAGCTCCATAGCTTATATTTTGGAGCAATCAATCTGAAATTTAGTAATGTCTTAGTTTTCTTCTTAATTATAACTAGAGAGAGAGAGAGAGTGTGTGTAAATGTGAATCACTTGGTCTTTTTTTGCTAAAAGTAGAGAAATCACCTGGATGATCTTTCTGTCTTTTAAATGTGGAGATGAATGCATTATAGAGATCAAGAATAATGAATGTGGATCCCTTGTTCTCGTTATTCAACTTGTCCACAGCTTCTTGTAAAAAGAGATTGTGGTAGATAGATATCTTGTTGATGGTTTCATTACATTGTTGATAAGAAGACAAGATTGTGGCTTGAGGAAGACATCCAAAAGGCGGAATAGCTATAACTGCAAATTTCTTCACTCCCATGCCGTGAATGCGTTTCAGATTTATAGCCAGCTGATTAATGACGGATGCAGTGAAGGTCGAGAAACCCTGCCAGATTTTCCTTATTAGTTGATATTTGTTTCATTTGGCTGTGTTTGGTGGGAACGCAAATAACTTTATACTGATGCAAAATTGTGACAGTGCAAATGATTTGAGTGTAAATTCTGACCTATTTTTGTTTCAAATTTTAACTTATTTTGTTTGACTGCAGCACAAATGAAGTAAATTAAGACATGAAGCAGAATAAAGTAAAGCCCAAACAATAAATGAGAATTTGTATTTTTTTGTCATTTGCACTCCTATGAATTTGTGCTAGTGCAAATAAAATTTGCATTGCAAATTCATTTAAACCAAGTCTATGTTTTATTTGATAGAAAATAAGAGAGAAACAGAGTGAAATAAAATGTGATGCATTTGAATTCACTGGACCTAATACGGTGTGATTTCAACCACACCATACCATTTTTTTTATGGTATTTAGTGATACGCTGGAATCCCCCATAGGGGCCTTTGAGTAGTGCAGCACCACACTAATAACACCCCCCTCCCCCTAAAATTTGGAGTTTAAATCTCCGTCCTACAGCACATCCCCGCTGTGTATTGGGAACACCTCCCGATGATGATACTATCGGGAGTGGTATTCTCATTGAGAAATGTTCTCAATACACGGCGGGATGTTCTGTGAGGCGGAGATTTGAACTCCAAAATTTGGTGGTAGCAGAATTCAAATCATTGTCTCTGTTGGAACTAACCTGGTAACATACCAACTGAGCCACCCTTCAAAATGTAGATGCATTATCAGAAAAATTTTCAATAAAATATCTTAATCATTTACTGCTAAACTTTATAACAATGATTGAATCCACTGTGATATGGATTGATCCATTTAACTGTAGACGAAAATTTGCAATGTAGCCCAGTCCAATCCACGCTTTAATGTGGTTTCAACTAATTAAGCTACATCTCAGAATATTTGGATATTGTGGCAACATTTCCATATATAGTACCAAACACCCCCCTAAAAAATTGAAGTTGGTTAGAGAGATGGATCACCTCTGCGCTGCCATTCATGGCAACATAAGTGGTATAATCGTTTCCAGCAAGTGATATAAGAGCAACGGATGAGTCCAGATCACTCTTGCTGTACACTCCATCGTCGATGAGCTGTTGAAAGAAGTCGATTTGCTTGGTCATGGTGACGTTTGGATCAGGAGGAACCACCGTATCAAACACACCAGTCCCTCCAAACGCAAAATTTATCCCATATCTCATTCGGTCTGCCTCCACTTCCCTCCATCTGTATGCTACTGGAGTCTCGATTCCAAGAAAAGAAGCTATACAATGCTTTAACTTTTAGAAAGATACTTGAAAAGAAAAAGAAAAAGGAAATTTGTTGATTTTTGTATCTGTTTGAAAATAGTAGTCATGGGCCTTATCCAGTGGGCCTTTTAAGTTGCAAGTTTTTCGGGCATGGATATTGGATGGACCTAATATCAAAACAGTTGCCATTAACTTTAAAAAAGCTGCCAAAGAATCAACTTTAGAAAGTTTTTCTAGCAAAGAAAAAAAAAGACATACATTATATTCTGAAACATATTTACATCCATACCATGAGGAGGGAACTGAACTACCCTCATTCTATTTCATTCAATGCATATTTATTAAAATACCCTGAAAAGATTATATTTGCTTCTCTTTAATTCATTTCAGACTTTTTATCTTACTCTTTTTAAGAAAAGTAGAGAGAATTATTGGTTTAATAAATTGTTAAAGGCTAAAGTTGAAATATTAAATTATGCATGTTAATGCCTCAACAATAACAAGGGCATTATGGTACTTTTAGCATCTCTATTAAGGGTGGTATTTGAATCTTGAAGAAAAAATAATAAATGTGCACATGTTATGCACGTGGCAATTCTAAATGGTGATAATGATAATAATAATATATCTAATTTTTTTTATATAAACTTTATGTATTTTGTCTTTTATTTTTATTATTAATTAGATGCATATTGCAAAATCTAAATCTGATTACATAAACACTTTATTCAAATATGTGAAAATTAGATCGAGTTGTGAAGTTTCAAGTATCATTGACAGGTCTACCTGTTTGGCTAGACTCTTTTTTTTTTGTAATTTTTTTTATCTTTTTTGTGTATATTTGTTTGTTCATTTATCAAAAAGAATGTAAGATTTAACTAGAGGGAATTGAATGAGGTGAAAAGTAATAGTTCAATTTACAATTAAAACTTACAATAGGGACTAAATTAAAAAAGAAATGAGTATTTTAGTCAAAAGAAACTTCCACAATCTTATTCATATTTTTAATAGTAGTGTAAATATAGAATTATACATGTGTTCAATTTTTCTTTAAATTTTTTTTTGTATTTTTGTGTGTAAAAATAACTTTGATATGTTACACTTACTCTTTGTTTAATATGATAAATATATGATATTATACAAATGCATTTTTTTTTTGCAAAATTTGTATTTTTTTTATATTTTGATATTTTATTAGTTTTTATTATTTACTTATGACATTAAAGGTTAACACATTTAACTCAATAGTTGAACTATTTATTATTAAAATTTATATTTCATTTTTGGCCAATTCTAAATTATGTATTTCATTTTCATTATCAATAAAAACAATTCCTATTTATTACACGTACTTTTAATTTTATTGACAAAATTATCAAAAATGCATCTAATGTTTCTACATTTTTCTATTTATTTCTATTTTTTAAAATTTATTAACTAACTATGACTTCATAAGTTAATCAATTTGATTCGGATAGTTGTATTATTTAGCCACCACATGGATAAAGAATGGTTTTGTTTTGGAGTCAGATTTAAAATATATGGGTTTAGATTGTTAAAAATATTGACATAGAACTCATTAATAGCATTTATTAGTTAAAAATAATTTAACTATAGGATTTAATAAGAGAAAATGAGATTTAATAAGTACAAGATTTAATGAGAGTGGATTAAATGATGAGGTGGAAAGTAATAATTGAAATTACATTTTCAATGATTACAATTAGAGATGGACTAAAAACATCAATATGGACATTTTATTGGCCATTAAAACTATAATAAAATAACTTTTATACATTTTCTCAAACAAAAAAATAAAGAATAATTTCAATTCAAAAAAAGTTTCACACTACATGCACACTTTTATATATAGTATAGATGTAGATATAGGATAGGTTTTTGCTACAGTTAAAACACCATAGAAGTTTATAAGATTGTTAGAAAACTTAAAGGAGGTTTTCATAGTTTTCACTAATGGGTCCATTAGATTTGCATATACACACCGTAAGGAGATGTGATGATGCATAACACTACCCGACGTGTCGGAGCTTTGCTTGAAACTGGGGCAACCAAATAGGATGATAGTGGTGTAACAAATGCATAGTCAGCAATCCATTGTACCTAACAAGATCATATTAGAAAAGCAACCTTACCAGACACCATCTTACGAAGTTGGTAGCTTGTTAGCAGTGTAAATATGAACTTGATTGAAATTTAATTTGTACTTGAACTGRATTCAAATTTTATATCTGGTTCAATTTTGCATCCTTTTATTTGTAACGTTCTCACCTGATACAAAACTTGTAGCTTTTGTCTATATTACTCCTGCCAAAATACTCTCATATAAAGTGGGGCCGATCAAGTCATCTTTCATGTAAGGTGGGGGTACTACATTTACATTTTACTCTATATTTTACTTCCCATAAAGAAACAAGACAGTCAAATCTGAAGAATGGTAAACTAGAATTTCCAGTCTGCCTATTTGCACTCCATGCTTTTGTATTCATTCTTTTAAATTTTAATCTTTCTGCTTTGATTATCAGGCTATCACTTAAGGATTGTTAATTATTTCTAGAATGCAATTGCCTATTTGGAGAGTATACATCAAAGCCCTACAAGGCAAAGCCTGAGAAAAAGTGAGAAAGAAGAATTATGAAAAAGAAAATGCTATTATTCTGAGCAATCTGATTTGATATGGAAAGAAAAAAAAGAAAACCGGAAAATAACAAATTTAAAATGATAAAAAAAGGAAATCTAAACTAACTCACCTACGTAATCCGTCAGAACCCGGCCGTCGGAGAAACGGCCAGCTGGTTCACCGGGAAAAGTTGTCCCGTAAGGTACCTTCCATGACCTAGATGTAGACTTCTGATTATTCCCGGTGTCAGCATAAGAGTCACCAAACACGAAAAGCTTGGACAGAAGTCGGTGGTGATGATGATGGGATGAACTTTGAACCAGTTGAACTCCTGTGAATTCACAAAATTAAATAAGAACAGCTTGAAAATTTTCAAACAACAGAGAAAGCAGTGCAGAAGCTGTCCAACATGGATAATTATCTCAGAAAGAGAACAATAAACCTAGCTCTGTTTGTATTACCAGTTAGAAGAAAAAAGAAGATGAATAGATGAAAAACGAAAGCGTGCTTCCATTGATTCCCCATGTGAGAGAGAATTGCAGGGCAGGTCGAGGAATTCGTGAAGACGAGGACGAGGGCTCATTTATAGGAAACCTGATTTCCTATCTATTCTCTACCCACAATGAATTGCAATCACACATCCTTCAATTCAAGCTTGCTTTTATCCCAGCCACATTTGACTGGGATAAGACAGACTCTTCATTTGTCGGTTCTTGTTTTCTCCCTTTTCGAATTATTGGTTCCGTAAAAAGCACGTGGTAGATGCATTCAGTGATAACCATTCACAATCCATGGAACCGGATGTAAGCGGGCTGGGTTAAATGCCAAACCTGCAAGGGCCAGCTGCAAATTGGGCTGCTTGGGCGGGGTTTATAGTCAATTCAGGTCCAACCCAAAGATTTGGGCCAGACTGAGCCCAAGGTCAAGTCTGGCCCTTTAAACCCCAGCCCAGCCAATATTGTAATTTGATACATTTGGGTTGGGCTAGGGCTCGGGTTGGTCAATAAACTTTCTCTAAAATTATACATGTATATATATAGGCAAATATGTAGATGTATTACATGTGCGTATGTGTGTGTATATATATATATATATATATATATATAGATATGCAAATGTTTATGTGTATATAAATATTTGTATCTATTTATACTTACAAATACCCTTTAAAATTTCTAGAATTTTCTAGACCAAAAATACCCCTTTTTCGAAATATAATCCCTCTTTATTCTGAGGGTAGAAAATGTAATTTGAATACTATTATTTAGTACATTCAATTCCCTCTCACTAAATCCAACATTTAAGGTATTAATTCCCTTTCACCCTCATTGAATCATATATTTGAGGAATTTTTGTTCCTTTTGATCAATAAATTCTACTAATTAAATCAATGCATAATAAATTAATAATTCTAATATACATTTAAAATCTACCCAGAAAAAAAAAGTAATGTTTTCATATAAGTGGTATTAGAAATTAAACCATTTTGGGCCAAATGGGCCAACCAATGTTTCTACAATTAAATAATGAAATTCAAAATATATAAAATTCAAAAAGTATATAAATTTGAAAATATTTTTAACATCATAAATTTGATATATTAAACAATAATAAGTATGATAGATAAAAAAATATTTTTATTAATKAAGGAAATAAAATGTAAATTTTAAAATCAATTGAAAATAAAGCTATTTTTCTATTCTCTCTCATTAAATCTCATATCTAAAGTATATTCTATCATTAAATCTTATATGTAAGATGTATTTTTCACATCATTAAATTCTACTAATTAAATCCATAACATTAATTTCATTAGTATAAAAATAAATATTTTGAAATGTAATTTGAAAAAAGACCATTTTCTTCTCTCACGATAGTGGGTAGGCAATTCAACCATGCATTGGGGGTCAAATGGGTTAATCAATATTAACATAACAAAATAATAAATAATTAAAATAAATAAAATATAAAATATAAAATATAAGAAAAATAAAAATAATTGGAAAATCTCTAATATTGTATATTCATTATATTAAACAAAATAACTAATGATGAAAATGGAATGTCAAATTTAAAATCAACCTAGAAATGAAATGTTGTCATAGTCAAATAATAAAATTTTTAAAAATAAAAAATGTAAAAAATCACAAAAATAAAAAAGGAGAAAAAATTTGGGCACATATCTAATGTTATATATTTAAAAAAAAAATAACATATTGGGTACATATCTAATATTAGAAATCCATTATATTGAATAAAAATAAGTATTATGCATAAGAAATAATTTTATCAATGATGGAAATGCAATACAAAATCCAAAATCAACCTAGAAGTCAAACTATTTTCCTTTTTGGTTGGTGGGTTAGTGATTTGGTCAAATAGATTAATTGATGATATGATAGTTAAATAATGAACCTTTAAAAAAATAAAAAGTACAAGTAATCAAAAGACTATACAAAAATTATATATTAATTATGTTAAAACAAAAATTAAGTGTGATAAGTAAAAATTATTTATATAATATAGATGAAATATTTAAATTAAAACTAATCTGAAAAAAAAATATTGTTTTCCTATCTAGATGTGGGTCAATGATCCAACTTTTCAAAGAAACTCATGATGTCATAATTGAATAATAATTATTTAAAAAGAGTTAGAAAACAAAAAATGAAAAAGTAGAGAATTCTACTAAAAACACTTGGGAACATTTCTAATGTTATATATTCATCATATTAAATAGAAATAATTGTTAAAATCAAAATTATTTTTATTTATGATAGAAATGGAATACAAAGTTTAATAATAATAATAATAATAATAATAATAATAATAATAATACTAATTGTTATTGTACTTTAAAATTTCAATGTGCAATGCATGTGTACATTTACTATATATATATGTATGTAAATACATACCTAAGGGCTAGGCCTAAGTCTAGTTGAATACTTTGGCCTGAGTTCAACCCATGTAAAATTTTAGGCTAGGTCAGTTTAGGCTTAGGTTGGGCCCACCCAAGTTGCACCCCTATTAACCAATCTTTATCAAATTTTGGATATATAGAGGTAAGCCCCGTTGAACCCAAAACGTTGGAATTGACCAAGGGATTATGCAATTGGTATGTTAGCTGTAGGGTTAGAACCCCCACTTTCGTTCTCACCCTTCACTTCTCTTATCCTTCACACCCAACTGACCACCTACAGCGGCCAGCACCTTCGGCATCCGATGACAACACACACCGACCAATAGTGATTAAAGGCGATCGACGACAACGAGTTTGCAGCGGCAGCCAGTGTATTTTGCAGCACTTCTAGTCTCCAACAGTAAGAGTTGCGGTAGGCGACGAGTTTGCAACGACTGTCTAGCGAGTTTGTAGCGGCGGGCGGGGAGTTTGTAGTGGTAGTAACACCACCATTGGCGATTCTACAAGTTGTAGCAGCACTTGCAGCGGCAACTTACATGCGACCAAGCCTGAGCCCACCGGCAACGAGCCCACTGTCACACCACCATTACCGACAGTGAAACCGTGAAGGACCTGAAGGTATATTTTTTTTTTTCTGAGAGAGAAAAACTTGCTTTAGACTACCCTCGGTGAAACACGAGGGTCTAGTTGTAGCCATGGAGACTGCTAGAACAATGAAGGATGTTTCCCCTCATGAGTTCGTTAAGGCTTATGTGTCTCATAATTTATACTATTATTACATAATTTCATTATTAATTTTGTAATATACAAAATAATTATTAATTTCAATATTATGTTATAATTATTTTTTGCTTTAAAGAATTTTTTTACTTTATTACATAATTTCGTTATTTTAACTATTTAAAATCTAGTTATGATAAATATCTAGTTATTTAAATATTTAAATAATCTATAAATATTTAAATTTTTTTGTTATTTGATTTTTTTATTTAAAGCTATTACATATTATTAAATACTTGAAAAACATTTAAATTGATGATCTGGAAAAACATAATTTCGTGATTTATTTTGTAAAAATATAAGATTATTTATTAGATAATTTCGTTATTTTAACTTTTTAAAATATAATTATGATAAATATTTAGTTATTTAAATATTCTATAAAATATTTATTTGTTTTTGTTATTTGAATTTTATTTACTTAAAGATATTACATATTATTAAATATTTCAAAAACATTTAAATTGATAATTTGGAAAAACATAATTTAAATTGTTGGTACATAATTTCGTGATATATTTTGTAAAAATATAAAATTATTTTTTGTGTTTTTAATAAGTATTTTAAATTTATTATTTAATTTTGTTAGAATATTTAAGTAATTCTTAAATTTTTAATCCAACCTTTTTGTAGATAGATATAGATAAAATGTAGGGGAGGATAAATAGGAATTAGAGATAATTTAGGAGAGAAACTCTCTACTAAATTAGAGATAATTTTGGAGATAAATAGGAATTAGAGATAATTTAGAAGATAAATAGGAATCAAAGATAATTCTGGAAAAAAGTGGGAGGTAGTTTAGGATAAATTTTAGGAGAAGAGATTATTTAGGTTATTGGAAAAGTGCATCTCATTGGTTGTTTCAAAAATGACACAGAATAAAAAAATAAAAAATTTAAAAAAAAAGAGAAAATTTCTTGATTACTTTGTTTTAATATATATATGTATAGAGAGAGAGAAAGAGAGAGAATTTAAATTAAAAAAAAAAAAAACTTAAAAAAAATAGGGTAAAATACAAAAACCTCCCCTATGTTTTCACTTTAACAGAAACCTCCCATGTACTTTTTAGAAAACACCTCCCTTAGTTGAAAAGCCGATTTAATGTGCTTGTTTTTTCTAAATTCTTATTTTGCCCTTATGCCTAGATGTAGATTTATTAAAATATCCTTCAAAACACTATTTATTTTTTCTCGAGAACTCAGGACTAGAGTCGTCGGTCTTCTCTCATGTAAAAGACAAAAATGTCCTTACTTGTTGATTAAATTTTCAAAACATGCCCCTCCTCATCACCCATGATCTCCAACATACATTATGTATTGTTCTCTTCGTTCTTTCATTTGCCCTCCATTAGAGATGTTTGCACCAAAAAGAAAAGGCAAAGTTACGATTTTGTTCGTTTTTAGTTTTATTGGAAGGATGGTTCAGGGATGTAAGTATAACGGATGCATTATAAATGAAAGGCGTGTGTGGTGGAACCACTCTGGGTTTTATTTGATTTTGATATTTGTTTCTCTATTTGAACCAAATATGTGTAGAGGAGCTATCATCTCCGATTTCATTGATGTGAAGCATAGTCATAATTTGGCATTGCATGACCTCTAATCGGAATTTGACACCATCTCCAATCTCATGGGCTTCGACTTTAGCGACAAAGATGATTCTTCTTCTTCTTCTTCGACCCATCAACTGAGCAAAGGTAAGAATCATCTTCTAAACAGTTAGACTTTGGTTGGTTTTGAGGGTTTTAAACAACAAAATGTATTTTCTCTTGGAATGTAGGAACTGGTGATAAGACTACAAAAAGGAGCATAGTTGGAGCAGACCAAAGCAAGGGTAAAAACAGCCAGAAAGAATATTTACAGGTTGGTCCAAAGCTGTAACAAATACTTATGCTAATGGACATTGTAGTCGTTAGAATACGCCATCTATTAGAGAAATGACAAAGCTAGTTTCTCAAGCTTGGTGTCAAGGCTTGTGGTTGCTATGGTTTGTGTTGATGCTCGGATTGGTTGAGGACAATAAGGGAAGCCGAGGACGAGGACTAAGTCTGAGGTGGAAGGTCTCTTTGGATACTGTAGGAGCTGAGGGCTAGTGCCGAGTGTGATGTGCGAGGGGTCCAAAGGAGGCCTCGGTACGGATCCTACAAGGAGTGAACTGTCAGAGGCCTCGGGTGAGTACCCAAGGAAAAGACTTTGACGGTCAAGTTAGTACGCACATAGTGTGATCTAGAGATCTGGAGCCGATGGGTCCAAACAAGGTCTCAGATAGCACTTAGGTTCTCCAGGGAGAAGTAATGCTTACAGATTGCTCAAGTTTTTTGAATCGGATCCTTTACCTTGTGGGAGGTGCCTTGCATTTATAGTCGGAGTTGCTTGAGAGTAGTTGGGCTCGAATGGTCTAGTTCGGCTAGGAAGCCTGGGGTGAAAGGGGCTCGACGGAGCTGATTTCGTGCTTCCTACTTATGTTGTGACGGTTTGGGGCCGTCTGTGGTATGGGACTGTGTTTGATACAAGTTTGGCACGGGGAGAGCCTTCCGTGAGGGGAACGGTTGTTCCGAGTGAACCGGTTCGTGTGTCCACTCGATTCGTTCGCACGGACTAGTGGGTAGCGGCGAGCGGACCTGCTGGTTCGCTCGGCATCGTTTCCTCTCGAGGCTAGGCATCAGTTGTCAGACGTCGTTTCGTCTCCCCAAAGCTTAGCATCAGTCAAGCATCATTTCGTCTCCCGAGGTCGAGCGATTGGTGTCACGTCCCGGATGGGCAACGGAGGCGGGAGACTTGTAGCCGTTGGATTTGGCAAGATCTGAGCCATTTGTTCTCCTATAAATAGAGGGCTTAGTCGTGGTTCTCCTGTCATTTGCCTCTAGGCGCCCTTGTTATCAAGTGAACTGCTCCTAGGCCTTCAATCTTCAACAAACTTCACCATCTCCCTCTTTCTCTCCAACTTCTAGGTAATTCCTTGAAACATGTCTTTCTCTGACTCTGGCCCTAAATGCTATGAGCTTCTAAACAGTTCGGAGATGAGCTCTTCTCTGACCCCTTCCCCTCTTTCTTCCTTGGGTCCCTTGGTTGTTGTCCCCCCTCAGCGGGAAGTGATAGTGCTGAAGGAAAGAGTAGCCTCTAGGGGTGCCAAGGGCAGCCACCGAGGCGATGACTCTCCCCGTGAGAGCGCCTCCAAGCTACTAAACCCAGTTTGGCGCCCCTCCTACTGTATTAGCATGCTCCCCACGCCTTAGCAAACCCTAGGGCGCCTTTTAACTCATTCTTTTCACTCTTAACAAACCCTACCTGCCCCTAACTGTTAAATCCTCACCTTCCATCCCTTCTAATCTCCACCATCCATTCTAGGGCACTTTCTTTTTGGCATTCTAACCCTAGGAGCCACCTAACTTCTAATCTTCACCATTCAGCATTTATCCATTAAATCTTAGCCTTACATAATATTGGGTGCCTTCTCCTTTTCTTCTCAACCTTAGGATCACCCTAGAACCATTCTAAACATAGGGCACCCATTTTCTACTAAAACCCAACTGCCGCCCCTCTCTTTCTCTTAGGATCACCCTAGAACCATTCTAAACCTAGGGCACCCATTTTCTACTAAAACCCAGCTGCCGCCCCCCTCTTTCTCTCTAATTCTAGTTATATCTACCCTTCTCTATAAAAAGGACCCCAGGGGCCCTAGAGAAGGGGTTGGTTAATTCACACAGTTCACAAGGCTAAGGTTTCTTGAGGAGTTCAAGGGTTGTAGAAGGAGAGGATGCCCAACTCTTGTCAGGAGGGGTTCCTGCAAACTGCTCAACCAATCTACAACTATTGCCACTAGATTTGATCAACCACTCTTTTTATTTTCTTCATTTTCTTTCCTGTTTTTATTTCTGCATTCTTTTAGATTTAATTCTTGTTCATTTCTCTATTCTGTAGATCTGATTTCGTCCGGTTCAAGGCTAAGGTGTCTCGAGGGGTTCAAGGGTTGTAGAAAAGAAGGACGCCCGGTTCTTATCAGGAGGGGTTCCTGCAAGCTGTCCGGACGATCTACAGATCAACTTTGTTTATTTCTTTTGTTGATTTTCACACTTTGTTAAATTCTGAATTCTGGTTATTGTTTTGTTCAATTCCGAATCATTTAATTTCAGCAATAATAGATTTTATTTTCTTATTTTCTGCAATTCTCGATTATATTCTCTTGTTAGGATTTAAGTACATATTAATTTTTCCCTCGCTTCCCTGTGGATATGACCCGTTATCATCCCTTTATTGCGTTAGTAGTTGTTTGAGAATTGAAAAAATTTTATAAATGTTTAAACTGGTGTTCCGAAGTGTTTAACGACACGCTCCGGACGATCTGTAGCTACCGCCACTAGACCCAAATTTTGGATCAACTATGTTTATGTATTTTATTTCTTTTGTTGATTTCCGCACTTATATTAAATTCTGATTTTTATTTATTGTCTTGTTTAAATTTGAAACATTTAATTTTAGCAATAATAGATTTTATTTTCGTATTTTCCGCCATTCCCGATTGCATTCTCTTGCTCGAATCTAAGTATATATTAATTTTTCACTTGCTTCCCTGTGGATACGACTCGTTCTCACCCATTTACTACGTTAGTAGTTGTTTGACAAATGGTAAAAATTATAAATGTTTAAATTGGTGTTCTGGAGTGTTTAACGGCATGCTTCCAGACACACCAATAGCCATGTTGGTGTGGGCTTAGCTTCAGGATGTTGAGTTAACCACAAAATTGTTTCGCGCCATGTTCGTGTCGAGGAAGCATGCTTCCGAGGCCAGCATGTACTACTTCCATCATCGGAGGGAAAAACTTGTTTACAACCCTTTGTCCATCCACGGTTGGAAGGACAAGTTTTTCTATGTCTCTTGCCCCGAAGGTTGGAGCTTTAAGTCGAAGTGGGGAGAGGCCTGCCTAGTAGTCGAGAGGTGTCCCCCTCCGCTCCAGGACAAGGAGGCCGCTGACGTAGCTCACCTACTTATGATGGGGACAGTCCAGGCCAAGCCATTGGTGGAGGAGGAGGTTCCATTAGTGTTCGTGGGGTTCAGCCCTGCCCCCCGGTAGGAGAGGTCCCACAGTTCCTTAACACATTTCCCTCATCCTCGTCATACGATGCTGATCTGTTTTTTTTTTTTTTTTTTTTTGCTTGCAAAGGTGCCAATGGACACCAAGAAGATGCTGGTGGAGCATGCTCGTGGCAAGCAAAAGGAACGAGCAAACCAGAAGGTGGGCTCACAGACACCGCAGAGTCCCGCAGAGGGCACACCCGCGGGGAACAAGTGGGCGCCTGCCCCCACCATGGGGGTAGCTTCACAACAAGTCCCCGCCAAGGGGGCGGCCTCACAAGTCCCTGCTAAGGGGACTACTGCACACTTCCCAGCCAAGGGGACAACTCCACAGATCTCTACCAAGGGGACATCTGCTCAGGTCCCTGCCAAGGGGAAGAGGCCAGCCGAGGAGGCCGAGGCAAGCAAGAAGAGGCCTGCCAAGGAGACCCTGAAAGAATAGCCACTGAAGAAGGCAGCCCACAGCGAGTGTCCTACCGAAGACACAACGACAAAGGGGCTTCCTGTTAAGGAGCACCGCATGGCGCCCTCATCCGCCCCCACATTTGTACAGGAGCTCGCCGAGGGGGGCGAGTAATCTTCCAAGGTCTTCCACTTGCAATGGTCAGTTCGTGAGGGGGACTCCATCACTAAGGAAGGGGTCAGCCAGCCCCTGGTGGACGAGGCGATTCTCTCGAGAGATCGCTACCGAATGATGCAGAGTTCACCGCGGGCCATCTACGGCAAGGGGTTGCACCACTTAGCCGAGGTACATTTTTGCATTCATCGTTGTGTCCTTTTGTTCTTTCTTTGTTGTAGCTTCCAATGATGGTTCTCGTTGTAGTCCTGTCTCCACTTCGTTGGTCTGGGGGACTGGATGAGCCTTAGCTTGGCCCACTTGGATAGGCTCAAGAAGGAGAAAGAGAAGCTTCAAAAGACTTCTGCCGAGGTCAAGGACAAGGTCGCCAAGTTCAGGAAAGGCCACAAGGACCAGTAGATGCTTCAGCTAAATGCCGAGGAGAAGCTGAAGGAAGCGGACCAGCGCCTCTCCAAGGAGCAAGAGGAGAGGGTTCGCCTCGAGAGCATCATCTTCGAGGCCCAGCGGTGGGCGACCCGCATCGAGGGGTGCGCCGCTGAGGCCGAGAAGCAAGTGGCCGAGGCAAAAAGACCACAAGCAAAAAGACCACAAAGCACAAAAAATAACTCATGGCTTGTTATACACATGTCTTAGGTAGTCAGGAGGGAGAGGCCAAGGTAGAGCCGCACGACCGAAATGTGGCTCGCCTGGCCCAATTTCCTCAAAGTGTTCACTTAGGCAAGGCCAAGGTGGCCTACTGAGGTGTGGGGGGAGAGGCCGAAGTGAAGCTGAAGCTTACCTAGCTCACTTCCTCCCGTGGTAGCTTAGGCAAAGCCGAGATGGCCTATCATACTATGAGGGAGGGGCTAAGGCAGAGTTGAGGCTCGCCTAGCTCCCGTCTCCCCAAGTGGTTACTTTGACGAGGCAGAGGTGATGCTCTGAGAAGGTCAAGGTCTCAGGCCGAGGCAAACCGCCGAGTTGGTTGGGCTTGCCGTCTTTAGCTAGTGGCATTAAGTGTGAAAGACCAAGAGGCTAATTGCCGCCGAGGTGGGTGGTGAGGCGTGCGAGGCCTTGGCCGTCTTGGTATACTCTAGCGAGGCATTTAGTTAGGGTGTTCGCCACTAGTTATGTGCCTTAGCGACAGTCCAAAAAGAGGGTGTGGTCCTCGGGAGAGGCCATGCACCTCGGCCAGTCGCGAAGCCGAGGGGTCTTAGAGACCTGGTGGGAACACGCACTGAGCATTGAGTCAAAGAGAAAATTTGCTTCATTCATTCATTACTTCATCAAAAAATTACACTCATCTGTAGTACATCTGGAGGTTCTCCAAGTTCCACGTCTGAAGGACGGTTTTTCCATCTAAATGCTCTAGGCGAAAGGTGTCGAGGCCAACAACTTGCTTGATCCTGTAGGGGCCTTCTCAGTTGGGGCCTAGCTTTCCTACACCAGGTTTGGGGACCATGACCTTCCTGAGAACAAGGTCTCCTTCTCGGTAATGCCTTTCTTTCACCTTTGAGTTGTAGTAGTGGACCACTGGTTGCTAGTAGGCAGCCACCCTAATCTGTGCTTGCTCTTGGGCTTCTTCCAATAGATCTAGGTTTGCTCCGATGGCTCCACTGTTCTCGGCCTTGTTGTAGGCTTCTACTTGGAGGGTCGGCTGGCTGATCTCTGTTGGGATTATTACTTCCATGCCATAGGTCAGGCTGAAGGGGGTCTCTCCCGTGGTCGTTCAAGGTGTGCTTCGGTATGCTCAGAGTACACTATTTAACTCATCAACCCATAAGCCTTTGGCTCGGTCTAGCCAGGTCTTTAGTCCATCCAAGATTGTTCTATTTGTGACCTCGGCTAGGCCATTTGTCTGGGGGTAACCCACCAAGGTGTACTGCTGCTTGAGCCGAGGGAGGTAAACCACTCTCAGAACTTGGCGTCATCAAATTGCTTCCCGTTGTTAGTGACTAGCTTGTGGGGGAGGCTGAAGCAACAAATAACGTTCTTCCAAAAAAGGCTCTGAACTGCTCGAGCTGTAATGGTGGCCAGGGGTTCGGCTTCTACCCATTTGGTGAAGTAGTCCATAGCGATAACGAGGTATTTTCTGCCCCCTGTTTCTTGAGGGAAGGGGCCGAGGAGGTCCATTCCCCACTTGGAAAAGGGCCAGGGGCTGCTGAGAGCYGAGAGGGTTGTGGCTGGTTGATGGTAGAGGTTAGCATGTCTCTGACATTGATCACACCTTCGTACCAGCTCGATTGTGTCCTTGTGAAGAGTTGGCCAAAAGTACCTCGGCCTTAGTGTTTTTTGGGCTAGGGCTCGGCCACCGAGGTGGTTACCACAGATGCCTTCGTGAATTTCTCGGAGCACGTATTATCCCTTCTCCCGACGGAGGCATCGGAGGTAAGGCAAGGTGAAGGATCTTCTATACAACTTTCCCTTCAACAAGGTGTAGTGTGCTGCCTAACGTTAGAGTCATCTAGCTTCGTTCTTGTCGTCGGGCAGTCGTCCTGTTAGCAGGAAGTAAATGATGGGGTCCATCCAAGACGGTTCGGCATCTAGCAGGAGTGCTTGGGCTTCTTCTATAGAGGGTCGGGATAGCTTCTTCATGCCAACAGTGTGGTCGAGGGCTGCATCCGAGGTACTTGCCAGCTTAGAGAGGGTGTTGGCTCTTGTGTTCTCGGTTCACAAGTCTTGGACAAACCATCAATAAAGAGTCTCCATGCAGGATGTGCTTCCTCGACCGAGCGCACCTCTTCTAGTTCATCTTCGAGGGGTCGGCCGAGGGGTCTAGGAAACGTGCACTCTGCTACAAAATCAGCCAAGGCTTGCGCTTTAATTGCAGGCCTCGGTTGGTACTAGCTGTCGAAATCAGACAGCTCGATTGCCCACTTGATCAGGTGTCTCAAAGTCTCAGGCTTGGCGAGGATGGCCTTAAGGGGTTGGTTTGTCAGAACCAGGACAGCTTGAGCTTTTTGGCCAAGATAACGAGGGCGAAGGCTAACTTTTCCACTTCGGGGTACCTAATTTCAATGTCGCAGAGGACCTTGCTGACATAGTATATAGGTCTCTGGACTCCGTCGTCTTTTACTAGGACCGAGCTAATGGCCTCATCCCCTGCTGATAAGTATAAGTACAAGGTTTCCCTTGATGTCGGCCGGACGAGGAGGGTAGGTGAGGCAAGGTATAGCTTTAGCTCGTCGAAGGCACACTGGCATTCCTCTGTCCATTGGAAATCTTTTAGCTTCTTGATGGTGCGGAAGAAGTGAAGGCAACGGTTGGCTGACTTCGACATGAAGCGGTTGAGAGCGGCTATTCTACCAGTGAGCCTCTAGGTCTACTTCACCGATCAAGGGGGTGCCATGTCTAGTATGGCATGTATCTTGTCTAGGTTGGCTTCAATGCCTCTTCGAGTGATGACAAAGCCCAAGAACTTGCCCGAGGTGATGTCAAAGGCACACTTGCTGGGGTTAAGTTTCATGTTGAACCTGCGCAGAGTGTTAAAGGTCTCGGCCAGGTTCGAGGTGTGTGTTTCAGCTTTCAGGCTATTCATTACCATGTCATCCACATATGCTTTGATGTTCCTACCCATTTTGATCTTGAACACCTTGTTGATAAGGCGTTGGTAGGTGGCCCCCGCATTCTTAAGGTTGAACGACATCACTTTGTAGCAGTATGTGTCGTGCTCGGTGATGAACAAGGTCTTCTCCTCATCCTCGGGGTGCATCTTTATTTGGTTGTATCCAGAGAAGGCCTCCATGAAGCTGAGTAGCTCGTATCCTGTAGTGGCGTCAATTAGGTGGTCTATCCTTGGTAAAGGAAAACTGTCCTTCGGGCAGGCTCAGTTAAGGTCTGTGAAGTCAATTCAGATCCGCTACTTCTCGTTATCTTTCTTTACCAAAACCACACTTGACAACCAGTTAGGGTAGTGAACCTCTCGGATGAAGCCAGCTTCGAGTATCTTATCGGCTTCCTCTCCTATGGCCTTCCATTGCTCCGGTTCAAAGTTCTTCTTCTTTTGAGCTTGGGTCCACGTTCATCCTGTGAGTAATGACCGAGGGGTCAACTCTGGGCATATCAGTGGCGGACCAAGAAAAGACGTCAGCATTAGTTCCATGGAAACTTACCAGTTCGGATAGGCGTTTAGGGGGAAGGTTGGACCCGATGCGGACTGCCTTCTTAGGGTTTGCCTCGTCTAGGGGAACCAAGACGAGGTCCTCGGTTGACTGGCCTCGGCTCGCTAGCTCCTGCCTAAGGTCAAGGCCCTCCAGTGACAGGGCCTCCTTATTCTTGCCCTTCAACGCTGCCACATAGCACTGGCGGGCTATCTGCTAGTTCACACGAACAACTCCAACGTTGTGCTCGGTGGGGAATTTGAGGGCTAGGTGGTAGGAAGACATGGCAACCCCCAGTGCGTGAAGGATTGACCTCCCCATTATTGCATTGTAGGGGGAGCCAACCTTCACTACGAGGAACTCATGCATCCAAGTCACCTGATCCATTTCGGTCCCTACCGTGATGGGCAGGGTGATCTTTCCCTCTGGTCTGATGACACTACCAGAGCAGTCGACGAGGGGAATGTCAACTGGTTGGAGTCGATCGGGCGCGAGTTTCATCCTTTCTAAGGTGTCGTAGAAGAGGATGTCAACCAAGGAGTCGCTATCCACTAGGATCTTCTTCACTATGTAGTTGGCGATGATTGTTGTGACCATGAGGGCGTCGCTGTGGGGGACTATGACCCCCTTCAGGTCCTCGTCGGTGACGTCGATGACGCCTACCACTTGCTAGTGCTGTTGCTGTTGTTGTTGCTGCTAGGAGGACGAGGCGCCAACCTCTCCTCCTACGAACTGCTTAAGGTTCCCACGACGAATGAGGGTTCCTCTTCATCTTCTCAAGCTTCTTTT